TGGCAAGTCTTGCCACGATTGTTATTATTGCTACTACTCTTATCAGCAGCAATATTATATTATTCCATCCACACACACACGACTTGCCTATTGCTGGGGGGGTCTTCGGGGATGTTGTGCCTTCCCAGTGACAGGGTCAGGGACCGGCTCGAAGGGACCGACAGCGTCGAGCGGCGCCGCTCGGTTGAACGAGCCGTATCTTCAGCCAGGGAGGCCTGCCGTGGCTTTAGACTTTAGACTTTATTAGACTTTTTGGGTTTGGGCGCTTTGGGGATTCAGTCCTTGGCTGTTCAGTATTTTTGGGTTAGGCCTCAGATTTGTGCTTTCATGACTTGGAGTTCGGGGTGGTTGTGGACCCAGGATGGTCCTTCAGTCGCAGTTCGCAACGGAGCCTTTCAGGAGAAACGGGACAATGTATCGGCCGCTGATACGGGTTCTGACAGCACGATGTGGATCGAGGCCGGTGTTCAGCTCAGCACTACAGTCACAAGGGGTGTCCCTTTTTTGGCCCCCTCCTCTTTTTGATGAGCCACCTCTTTGTTTTGCATCCCCCTCCCTCTTCTTTTGGAATCCCCCGCCTTGTTTTTTGACTGCCGGAACCGCTCTTTGCTATGCTTCTGGTGACCTTTTATCTTGGGGGCGAGGGGGGGCCAGAATGCAAAGCGCACAACCACATGTCCATGCGTGTTCGGGCCACCTACATACGCCGGAATGCGGCTTCAAAGGCACGGTCGAGAATACGAACCTAAATGAAGTCCGTCGATTGAAGTCGGGGCTGGGTTAGCAAGTCCGCAATTGCTGTGCTTTACGCAATGGTTGGGTGAGGGCTTGGTACTATTACTACATAATGCTCCCCTCACCTTGAGCAAAGTCGTGATCGCCCAGAACATTGCTCTTTTTCTGTTCTGTCTCTCTTGCAGCACTGCGGCTCAATGCAGTCGGACTCGCACTGATGTTTGTCTTTGCGATGGGCCCAATTACAAAAACCGACGGCTCCGGGACTGTTGAGCGGTTGTCGCACCTCAAGTTTCTGGACCATCGGCAGCGGGCGACGCAGCATCTCCAGCCATCGCCTTGAGTTCCGAGCCATTTTCGGCTACCCTCAAAAGCAGCTTCCGGCTTCCTCATTCTCTTGGGAAGATCTCTGCTTTTGAGGACTTTCAAAGAGAGTTCCCCGGCCACCGCTCTCTCCCATACGAAGCTAACGAATTCCAAACATCCTGCCTTCGCATGCCCCTCCGAACATCGTCCACCGTGCCCCTCAAGACACACCGGCCACTCACCTAGAGAAACCTATAGGCAGAAGAAGCAGGAGGATGGATGCACACTGCAGCTTTAGTGGCTCCACGACTTCGCAGCTTTCAGGATCCTGGCGATCTCCGGCTACAGTACTTGCTTTGGCGCAGGGATTCTTCTGGGGTTGCTGCCTTCCTACTTTGGGGCTGAGGCTCTGCTTGGGAAGGAAAGGTTGGCTTCGAAGTGTAGCGACGCCGGCTTCAAGCAGAAAAAGACACATCGCCCCACCCTAGACACTGTGCCCTGCGCTTGCCCAACGCTTCCAGGTACTGCGCTTCCGAAGCTTCTCAAGGTGGATTCGGTTTGGGCCGCAGTGGCATGAGCCTTCTGTGAACTCAGACTCAGAGATTCAAGGGATGAGGTGCATCAGGGCTTGTCTGTGGCATTCGACGAAAAAAGCCAGTAACCCGAGCCTGTTGACTCTCTTCCGGCTGGGAAAATCGGCGCCGGAAATGCGCTTTGCGGACCTTATGTCCCCAGCAGCTTGGGCTGGTGTTGGGTGATTTTAAGGCTTCCCCCCACCCCCGGAACCCCAGAACGGCTTGAGCTTGATCTGTTCGAAACCAACTTGCCGGCCTTCAACCTGCTCGGGGCGATGCAAAGGCCAGCCTTGCCAATCCTAATCCCTAAGCCCAGTCGCCTTAAACCAGAGCGAAGGCTCGAGGCTTGGGAACTTCGTGAGTGCGCTTGGGCCCTTTCGCCCCAAGCCTGAACTCTCCGGTTCGAGCTGCGCCCCGGGATTCGCAAGGCTCCGTCGCCACAGCAGTGACAAGGCGCTCCTCTTTGCCCACCCCTTCCTAAAGCCCTCAGCCTCAACAGACTGGCAACTTACAGAAGCACGGGTGTTGTTCGCAATGGAACACTCAACGTTCCGTCCGACTTCATCCGAGGCAAACCGACATTTCTGTGACGTGACAAGCGGTTGGGTTCCAAGGACACTTCCTACATCCACTGTAACCCCTTCACCCTAACTTTAAACGGCCCTCCCCTCCACAAACATGGTTTTAATGTTGGGTGTCTGTTTCTCTGCTGTCACATTTGAGAGATCTTGCTCTTCCTCCTGCTCCTGCTCCCCCACTCAATCCAAAATGATCCATTGCGAATGCCTAACTTAAACCTGAAAGCAGCTCCTCAATCGGCGACTCTGGCTGCGGCTCCGGTTCCTGACAGGCATTGCTGAAGGCTTGAAACGTTGGCGCTATGAACGGCTTTCTCCGGGCACATACAATAGTCTGCAGTGATTTTTTTCTCAATCGGTCCGGGACAATCTCGGTTCGCCGCTGAGCCTGCAGGGCCGCCTCTTCCGGTTCGGCCGCATGCAGAGGCAGCGGGCGTTCGCGAGAACCTGTTGGTCAGCACATGGCTTCTGTCGGACTTGGGCTATGATGCTTGTCGAACGAGCTCCTAGAAGTTGAAACTTCGGCCGATGGGACTAGTGCCAGGAGGCTCAGTTTTCTGCCACGCACCTTTCCAGTCAAAGCTGGGATGCTTCCCAAATCTTCAACTACTGCACATCCCCAACAAGCCACTTGCAAGACTCTATCTTAGTTTGTGGTCATCCGAACCCAGCAAGACGTGCGTTGCAGCTCGAGCAGCGAGCTCTCTGTGCCAGTCGCGGCCTGTCGCTGTCCAGTGAGGCCTTGGACTGCGGCTCGGTGTCAATAGCAAATCTCTATGCGAGTGCCTATATGCCTCATGATCTTGAGCTGCTTGCAAGAGACTCGTTCACCTTCTTGAGATCTATTGTGCCGACAGATCTTCGATGGCAAAAACTCTTCTGGCTTTGGGGGTCGGACCCTGGTGCAGCCTCTCATGTCCGAGGATGTCCCCGTGCCCGAAGGCCCCATGACGAATCTGAAAACACGCAGCTTCTGTGCTAGGGCCGTGGCGGGAACAATGGCCAGGGATTTGCCAACCGCTGCCAGGGCTTCCGCCGTGTTCGCTGTCGGGACCTCCTGAGGACTTCTGATTTGGATTTTGCGGTCTGGGGTCTATTGTATATACATATATATATATATATATATATCCAGGGTTCAGGACTATAGCGCTTCGGAAAACCTCTTCGTTCTATCACCCCTGCGGAACCGAGCACTGAACCAACAAAGACTGGAAGAGCCAAAGACTGGAAGAGCCCTTGGACCTGCTCCGGACTCCAAAGCAGTTGCCTTCGACCCCGAGGAGCCCCTGCAAAAGGGAGCAGCTCATGACAACGGTAAGCGCCAACGCAAATAGCTGTAGTAGTACTTGAACACGAAAATTATAAAACTTATGCCAAAACAAACAAGCACGATCCTGCTCGCAGCCAGCATCCGCGGGCGGCACCAGCAACGGTGGCGTTGTCTCGTCAGCGTCAGCGGGCTCCTCATCGACACTGCTCACATTGTCAGTTTGCCCTCGAGCTTGTTTGTGATTGTGATTAGTTGCTGATTGAGGTAGAGCCTTTGATGCATGCACTGCGTCGGTAAAGCTCCCGGTAAAGCCCATGAAAAGGCTGGTCTTGCTTGCAGAGTTTTCGCACTTGCTGCTTCTCTCATAAAGGATTCTCTTCGGCGCTTTGGCTTTTGTTTAACATGCTTCGCTGTATTCGTACGATCCAACCTCCACCCGAGGCATCTCGTTGTGGCACTGTCAGACGAAGACTCCACATATCAATTCTGGGTAATGGGATCCTTAACTTCATATATTATTTATGTTTCGGATCTTAAGAAACCCTCCCATACCTCCCCGTGCCTGAATGGCTGCAGCCGCCGAGTCGTTGTCGGAATCCTCCAGGCACGGATGGTCCTGCGCTCGGGATTTAATGTCAAGTGTTGTAAGTCTGAGGGCGCTTTTGAGATGTACCTCTGAGGATTGCAAGTGATTGCAAGATGAAGCACATCGGATTGAACCTTTGCATCTTCCATCACTGCCAGTCCCTGCAACGCGTTTTCGGCTAAGTCGAGTGAAGCTAGGCGACCCTTGTCGCATCGATGTAAGATTCACGGCCTATGCATCTGCCCGATTGCTTGTAGCATTTCGCGTCGCATTTCGTGACTCCTGAGTACCACCTTCCGCGAAGTCGGAGACATAATTCAGAGCTTCGAGCAGCCCTTTCACGAGAATGAGACGGGCCCACATCACAAAGCTCCGCCCCTTCCTCCCTCAAAAGCTACAAAAACCCCCTCCCTCTCCCTCTCTCTCCAGTCTCCCTCGGCTCTCCAGCCGCTCTCCAGTCACGCTCTCCTCGCCCTCTGCGCGCAGCTGCGCGCGCAGCGCCGCCGCCTGGAGGGGCTCGGAGCGCAAGCGGCCCAGCTCCAGGCCGCCGCCTCGGCCCATCCGAGGCGAAGCAAAGGGGATGGAACCGGGAGGGCGCCGAAAAGGGCAGGGTATAGGGTGTAGGGATGAGGCCATAGGTTTTTAAACAACCTATGCACTAGGGTTCTTCTGGAGTTTGTTGCAGCGGCTTCTAACGGCTGAGCACTCTCTTCTTTCTGTCTGGTGAACCTTGGAGTCTTGGCTAAAGTGGCGTGGCTGCCTTAAAGTCCTTGACGGCTTCTGAAGGGCCCAGCGCGCAACTGTTACGCTGCTTCAACAACGACGACGACTACTACTGCTACTGCTACTGCTGCCACAAAGACTTCTGATTCTCCCGTTCCCTCTACGAGTGAGAGCCCCAGGCATGGACCTAACCGCAATTTGGGCCCCAGACTCTGCAGCCGAGGGGCCGATGCGCGTCCAGGCCGAAGGGGAGATCGAGGGCCAGGGGATCCCTGGAGAAAACTTCGGCTCTTCTTGAAGGCTTTTCTGGCACTTAGAAGGTGGGTGATATGATTATAATTTCTGGGCTCTACGTACTTTGATGATCTTAGTTGGGCTTATCTTATCTTGCTTCTGGCGCTGCATATCTCCCTGCTTCTATCCAGCGTTCTAAGCCCAGGATAATCGGTCAGGTAGGCCGCTGCCAATCCTGGGACCCGTCAGCAGCTCAGGTAAACAACAGGACAGAAATCCAATCTCACGCTAATGTAGGGGCCTTAAAAATTAGAATAGGGTTCCGGGTTTTGGGGCCCATTATCCTATACCCATAAAAAGGAACCCCCAAAATAATATAGGCAAATATTGAGGCCCCTATATTAACAGAGATCATGTCGGGGTCGAGAGGAACTGACTGTTGCGGTCGTGTGCCGGCTGTGAGGACTGTATTGGGATGGAGGCTGACGCACTGACAAAGTGAATGGAAGGGCCAATAGGAGAAAATCGAGCAGGTTTGTTTCAGACATTCATAGGTTGCTACAGTTGATGCCTGCTGCAATGCACCAGTATCAAGAACCACGAATCCGAAATTGAACCACTGCAAAGCTTCAAACCTCAATGCAAAGCCCAAGCAGAACCTCTTAAAAGCTTCTGCACGCAGCGCCTGACGCAGTTCCCGCCAGGACCTGCGACTGGCTATCATGGGGCTCCAGATGCCCTAGTTGCAGTGCGTCTGACAAGGCAGCACGAGTGAATACGTCCCCTCGAAAAAGCGAACGCCAGCCTCCAAACTAGCATCATCGAACACACAGAGCAATCAACAGCATCACGCAATCAGCCGCCGACATCGAACAGTGGGCTGTTTTGCCCGCAGATGTTCTCCGTGTACTCTGTGCAATTATCCTTGCTCTGAAACTCCTTATTTGATGAACTGTCTCTCCATTTTGCTGCCATCATCTTGAGACTAAAGACCGAATTCTACTCTCTGAGATTCTCTAGCTGCTTCCAGGAAGAGGCTCCACGATCTCCGATGGATCCGGATGTACCGAAATTACTTACAGGAAAGGAGGCTCTGCATTTCACGAAACACGTGCTGTCATCGGGTTTCTCCCGGGCACTGCTCAGGCTACCCCTGCTCATCTTGATTATGCTTCTGCTACCTAAACCCTGCACGGTAAAATCGGAAGTCCCAAGGCGCAAAATCCAAACCGGAACCCAAACCCTACGGAGAACCGTAATAACGTTCTAAACCGCTTAGAAATGGAAACACCCCCCCCCAAAAAAAAAGACCTCAGACTTAAAAGAGCAAGCAAGGGCTAACCCCAGACCTCATACCCATGTACCCCACCCTAGGATTTTAACCCAATTCCCGAACAGTATCCTAAATCAAGCCTTCAAAACCATCCAAACCAAAGCCACCAGCCAAAACCCTCACACAAAAGCCTTCAAAACCATCCAAACCAAAGCCACAAGCCAAATCCCTCAACAAAAAGCCTTCAAAACCAAAGCCACCTAAGCAAAGCCTACCCTCAACTAATTCTAATGAGGTTTGGGGGAAGAGCCTTATCTGAAATCTCCCCAAAGATTATAACCCTTATCCTATAGAATTTTACTAAAGTTAATTAGTAAAATGCTACGGAATTTGTAAAATACATTTTCAACTATACACCTTATGTTCATCATCATATTTAATTTCATAATAAGCTAATGTATCAGGCTTTGGATATCTAATTTCTCCAGTGTTAAGTTTATTTATATATACATTTCTCTTATTCTTATAAATATCACTATCCTTAATTAATGTTTTGTTAATTTGTTTAGGTTTATCAGTGAGCTTCTCCAACTTGGTTTCAACTGCTTCTAGCTTCTTTAATATCTTTTGAAATCTCGTTACATTGGTTGTTTTCACATCATCATCATCTATATCTGACATACTACATAAAAAGTTTTAGATTAAAATTTTTATACTAAAAGTCTTAGGTTAAAATGCGTTCTAAATTACATATAAAGAGTAGAAATACAACTTTTTTCATAACTTAAAAATGTTATGAATAAAGTTCAAACTAATTAAGCACCTGCTTATGAGATGCTATTGAATGTTCAAACACTACTTCCCTTTCGTGAGCCCATCCAATGTGAAACAATGGGGGTTTTCTTCTCCTTCTTCCAAAAGCCAAAACTGGCATACTTGCCCTGTCATATTATTTAATTGTCAAACTTTTAAATATCAATCTAAACCATTCAACCCGTTAGACTTTTTAAGTGCTTCTACTTCCTTCTCTAATTTAAGTAATCTTTCATCTAATGATATTGCTTTTCTAAAGCCAGTATCAATATCGTTTATCTGCTTAATCTTTATTTCTTCCAGTTTTGTTTCTAAGTGCTCTATTTTTTCTTCTAATGTCAGCGTCCTCGGTTGAGTAGGTGGTGTTGTGCCTCTACCAAATCCAATTGAAGAAGTGTCTAAATTCTCTTCAACGGTTGTTATTCCTTCTTTATTTATGATTTTCTTTTTGTTTCGCTTATATGAACTTTTCCTAAATCTACAAAGAAAACATTTTATACCTTTCGGATTTATACTAAACCCTCCTTCATTTTGGCTTTTGTCATCCATGTATACTATTTAGATTTTTAGTCTTGGCATCTATATTAATCTTGATATTTTTTAGAATTGTTTTTACTATTTCTAATGTTATGGTGCAACATCTTCTATATCTTGGTTGTGTTATTATTGCTTTCTCAACTTCTTCTAAATTATCAACAGCCATAATATAATCATCGTATGAGTTCATATATTAATAACGATATAATTTTATAAGTATTAATAATAAGGTGATGTTAATGATATGTTTTATAAACGGTTTGACGCTAAATTAGTTATTGATTAATATATAAATATACAGTATTATATAATTGTAATGGATACATTACTAATGTGTGGTGGAATGTTGTATTTATATTCTTGCTCTAGTGCTAAACTAGATAAAGTTGAAGAAAACGATGACTTAAAAATTGTTTTTAACTTCAATCCTTTTTATCCGTTTGAATATTTAATAAAAGAAATTTCTAAACTTCCTCATAGAAGACATAAAGAAGAAAGTCAAATTCAAAATAATCAAACAAGGTTTGGAGGATTGCAAGAAAAAACGAATAATGAAGCTGATGAATAATATTATAAAATCATAATATTATTAATTAAATAATTGAATAATTACAAAAATTAACTGGTGGCAACTTATAATATATTTTATCACTCTTCTTTTCTTTCACCTCTTTTATATCTTTTATCATTTCTTTCAATACTTTAATCTGTAGTTTATCAATATTACTTAAATCTAATTCCTCTTCATTAATATTATTTATTTGGTTAATACAATCATTTTCATTATCATTTTTTGATATTCTACTTCCCATATACTATATACTATTATTTAGGTTGTTTACTTTGTTTTTTATATACATTATCCCAGAATTTCGGATTAGCATTATAACGGGCTTCTACTAACTTTTGGTGTTCTTTTGTGTTAATATGCTTCATATTTTCCTTTTCTGTTTCATCCGTTGGTCTATTCAATCCACATTTGCACATATAATATTTTCTTGCCATATAATACATATTTAGATAAAATTAATTTTTACTTTTTGCTTTTGGTTTAGCTTTTGCTTTTGGTGATGCATCTACCGATGTGTCTCTATTAGATTTTTTCAATTTCTTTGTTTCTTTCTTTAAATCATCTAATTCATTGAATATTGTAAAGCACACCATAAAATCGGAACACACATACTATAATCAAACTTTAAATATCCATCTCTTCCTTCTTTAACAATGTTCCCCCATTCTGAAGGCATTTTATCAGTTAAAAAATCATTAGCAACCATACCCACGCAAGGTCTGTTGCCGTATTTCTCTTTATCTATAAATTTGTATATTTTAGGTTTGATATACTTTACCATCTCAACGGCTTTCTTTGAATTTATTTCTTTTATTCCTTCTTTCAATCTTTTGTCAGAGCTGGGAGCAATACCTCTTGAATATGAAATATCACCAATAACATCTATACCTCCATCATTAACGGTTAAAACATTTTTAGTTCCTATTTCAATTATTGTGTCCCCGTTTGTATCCGGATTTCTTAAAAATATTTGGTCTATAGGACCTGCTAATTGAGTATGTGTAATACTTGCGTTTTCAAAGAAATTAACTGAACTACCTAATACTCTAAATTCTGGCGTTCCTGTTGCTCCAATATCTACATCAAAATCTCCTTCTGATGTTAATTTTCCTATTGTATTAACTGTCTCGTTAAATACTGTTGCTTTATTTAATGTTATTCCATTAGTATCGTTTAGATTTATAAATATATCAGATGCTGTCGGGTCTGCGCCTCTGTTAGATTGAATACAAAAATTCTGCTGTATTGTTGCAATATGGTTTAATGAAAAATTAGCATTTGACTGTTGATATATTCTTCCTCTACTATTTATTAAAATATTATTATTAAATGTATTATTAGTGCCGTTAAAATTACAATCACCACTAAAATTAGCACTGCCACCACCTGCTACATTTAATCTTGTTGCTCCTCCTGCTATTGCTCCAATTCCTAAATTATTACAATATACTGCTCCTCCTGCTGTTGCTGTGTTCAATAATAATAACGATTGACTATCATTTGATGTATTATAAGGCATTAATATTAAAACTATGCATTTTAATATATCCTTGTGCGTTCTTAACCTGTAACACTGGCGAAGCATCAAATGTATTTTTAAATGCTTCAATACCATTACCATTAG